AGAAGTTATTACAAAATCTTTTTGAACCGAAGCTCCACTGTTTCAGCAAACAAACGTCCATCTGCGCTCAGGAGATAAGCCACTACAGTATTAGAGGGGGATTGATATAATTTATTTTAGGACTCGTGTGCGAACTAGATCGATTCATTTTGTAAATGTTACAAATTGATTTTCAGGAGCTACAGCCTTCACAAAAAGAATTATTTACAACTTTATGAATTATAATATTGTGGGGCATGTAGACTCATTGCTAGATAACGAAGGCGAAATAAGCTATAGAACAGCCGTTGCTAGGTAATGGCCGAAACAGATTCTTAACACACCAATGGTCTAACGGAGAAGCGGTGGTGTGAGAACCTCAGAGCCTACAAATAAATACAATACAATAAATCACCCTCCTTTTATGGAATCCTTATATTCATTGCTGCGTTCACAACAACAAACTACTGGTTCGTATCCTGAGACAGATTAACTCCAGTTCAGAACCTCTCACAATATTTAAGGTCCATTTTAATAGTATCCGCTCACTTATATCCAGATCTTCAGAATGGTCTCTTTTTCTCGGTTTTCCTAACTAAAATTTTGAACGCATTTTTTATACATTTAATTAATGCTACATGATCAGCTCTTACGTCTTCTCCTCGTATTCATTCCTGTGAAAATATTTGTTGAAAAGCACAAAATATGAATATGCCCCTTGTGTCATTTATCCACTCTCCTCCCACTAATTTAAACTCCTTACAATGAGATATTCAGCCGTACAGAGTAGCGTTTATCACTGAAATGTGAAAATTAATGTAGTAAGACCAAACCTCTACGCTTATTCCAGATAAGATGTTAATGACAGCTCCATCTATCTACCGTAAATATACCTGATTGTGATTTGTGACTGTTTAACTCTGAACCAAACAATTCATTGCAAATTTACTGGTTCTTGATAACCTGATGTAGCATCGCTCACATGGGACTCATCACTAATTGCGGTCTGTTATGAGTGGAGCTAATTGACATCGACGATTAATTAATATGAATTTAAACCAGCAGAATTTAAATGAAACTCATAAAAGGGAAATGGATCTAAAAGCACATCATTTCAATTCTGAAATATTAATATTTGTTGCAACTCCAGTGATAACAATAATAAATTTAATAGAATAGAAGTATGTGTTACATCGGTGGCACGCAGTAGCGTAGTTGGTTGAGGCATTATGCTACAAACCGGAAGGTCGCGAGTTCGATTTCTGATGAGGTTACTTAATTTTTTTTTTCAATTCAAGACACACTATGGCCCTGCTAGTGTCGACTCAGCCTCTAACAGAAATGAGTACCAGGAATTTACCTGGGCGTAAAGGGCGGCCGGCGCGTAAGGCTGATTAACTCACCGTCATCTATGGGCCGATTGTCTAGAGAATGTGGAAACCTCGACGTCTCACAACCCTATGGTCCTCCATGGCCTGTTACGGGAATAACTTTACCTTTTTAATTGTTATGACTTGGTCATTCGGAATGTGACTTGCCTCATCAACTTACATTTTTTTACATTACACCACATTTTATTCTTGTACGTATTGTATTTCTTATTCTTTTTACATGTGGGGTCTACTAGTAATTTTTGCAACATTCTGCGAATATGTTGCCCGTCCATATTGTATTATTAACAAGAAGTTCTGGGAAGAACTAATCGCCTACTTTCCTTTACACGACACGGGCTGTATCGAAAATGACGAGTCCAATAATTCTATTGTTGCATGTATTAGTTGACGCGGGAACGTGGTTAACGAGCCATTGCCTAGCAACGATAAGGGGATATAAATACAGATATACAGACTGATGAGACAGATTTGTGAAATAAGCCGTTGAGATGGGCTCAGGTGTCATAATATATGTACCAAGTTTTTAATGATTGGTCCATGGATTTAAAAGTTGACGGGGGGACACATAGATATGCAGACAGCAAGGTGAACTCATAAGGCTACTCTTATTTTTAAAAATAAGGAAAGTAGACTAAGAAGTTCAATGCCAGAGAAAGCGGCATTATTTAACCCGGATTTTCTTTAAAAAGTGTTGAAACTATAAACGTCATCAGCCTTCCATAACACGTCTTCTTTAACTTATAAGTAACACATAAAAGAAGACTACTGTTGTCTGGGATGTAACGCCGTATAGTCTGATAGCAACCTACCCACGTTTCAGAAAATCGAGCTGCGTCTGTCTTCAGTTGCTTGTTGCTAGCTCGACTTACTCTTCGATCATGAAATGGGGGGGGCCAGCGCTTTTTACCGAAACCAAGATAAACTTTTACAAGACTGCATGGAGTCACATCATCAGAGACAATAATCTTCGTTAGTTTTCCAGATGTGGCAAAATATAATCCTAACTACAATTTGCGGACTGACATAAATAAAATCGGCCAAATGCTTGAAAAATATTACCCTCCTTTATTTTAATTATTGTACTGTTTTATGTGGGTCTAACATTATTTTCGGTATTAATCATCATCAATTGCGTACTGAAGAAACACATGAGTTATGAACATCCTGAAATCTCTCGATTTACTCTCCTGGATTTTGAGAGAAATATAGAAAGAACAAACCAATTAAATACCTACATGCCCAATTTGAATGAGGAAGCACAGGAATAGAAGAAGTGGTACCAACTTCTTTTATGAATGGATGAACACAGATCTCCTAAAGATCCTATTAGCCGGTCACGGTAGCCGAGCGGTCTAAGGCATGTACTGTCTTCACTCGCTTGGAAACCTGGATCGTGGGTTCGAATCCCACTCAGGGCATGGATGTTTAGTTTCTGTGTGTGCGTTTTTCTGTGTTTGTGTACAGGTAGAGGCCTTGCGACGAGCTGATCACCCGCCCAAAGAGTCCTACAGAATGTGTAAGATCTACAAAAACCGACGTGAACGGAGAAGTTCATGGAGGTAGGCTTAGGCCCACTGAGGCTGTAGTGCCAAGGGGGGGGGGGGAAGATCCTATTAAATTAGAAGTCGGAAAGACACAGGTACAGGAAGACCCAAGACAAGACAAAAAACAAATCCCTTCGAAATGAAGCAAGACNCCTCCTGCAGTTATGACCTAAAGTCGTGAAACACCCTGTATAGTATTTTTTTCTGCATATATCATACACAGCGCTGGAATGAAGCAAATGCCATTTCGATACTGAAAA